GTCTTTATATATATATATTATTTCCTTCAAAAATAAAAATAATAAAATCATGTTGTTGAAAAGAAGTTGGTAGGGGATTGAAGTCATTTTTTTGTGTATTTTCAATGACTGCAATCCCCAATCAACTTCTCTTCAACAATGTCTTCCAACATTCATAAATTATCCTCCATCATAATTAAAACATAATGTGATAAGCAAAAAACAGAAAATACAAACATAAATTAATTAATGTTTAAATAATTAATAATAAAACATTGTTTTTTTTTAAATAAAAATATCAAAGTTATAAATACTTGCAATTAGTAACAAAAACAGAAGTCGCTGTATGTAATTTTATTTAAAAAAGATAACTGATTGACAACACGAGAAGAAAAAAAATATGAATAAAATGCAAATGAGTATGAGCTAGTTAAAAAAAAACTTATGAAATTAACTGTTAAGAAACTTTATGTATTTAAAAAAAGGAAGCTAATTTTTGAAAACATATTACAAGATACTTTTTAAAAAATAAAATATAAAGTGATAGAAACTTGCAATCAGTAATAAAAGAAAATTTGCAATAATTTACAACATGGACAAAATAAATAAAGCACAAATGGATTAGTAATTGACATATTCTGCATTAAAATTCATTAATTTTTTTTTTATTTCTTTCTGAAAAATCTTATATAAACTTTGAAATATTTATATAAGAAAATGATTTTTCTCTAAATGATTTCAGTCCAACAGATGAGATGGGAGCAAATTTATATGCATTTCTAACTATTGGCTTGTTTCCACCAGAAATATGTTTTGACCAATAACTGTTTCATCCATGATATTGCAAGTCAACCCAAGATTTCACTTTAGAATAAAACAATGCACTTACATTTGGCATTGAAAATAATGCTTATTACCCCAAGTAAATAAAATGAGAAAGAAACTGAAGTGGAATCTGAGTGTAATGTCCAAAGGTTTTTAAAGGGATAAGAAGGAAAGATGAAAAAAAGCAGAGAAATGAAAAGAAAAAAAAATCCATTATCTAAGAAGTCAATAACTCAAGGTCGCATTATTTAATTGATTAGTCACAATGATAATGAACCTACAATTGAAACATTCAATTCTTTATGTTTACTTGATTGAATCAATTGAATATGCAATTTTGTGCATTTATCATCAAAAAATATTAAAGTTACTAACTAATTATGAGAGGATCTAGACCTCCTCCACAACCTTACATTCATTTTTCAGACATTCATCTTCCTTCACACCATCTATCAATTTCAGGCATGGTCTCCCTTTCAATCTACTTCTTCTTGGGTTTCTTCTATGCATACGCTTGGGTATTCTGCTGGAAGAAGTAGGCTAGTAACCTTGTCATGAAAAGGGGGTCTAAGTTGTATCCAATGAGGATAGGTATCTTTTTTTTTTCTTATATGGGATGTGACTGAGATGCAAAATCCAAGTTTTAGCCTAGACGCTCCCCCCCCCCTCAACCCTCCACGGATCACTTTTGGAAATCCCAAAAACTGCTATATTTTCGTTTTCCCCATTTTGACCATGAAGGAAGCATGCTTCCTCTCAAAAAGCATTCAATATATTTTTAAACTATAGTAAACATGCTACAATCAGGTTCAGCAAGTTTAATTAGTTTTCAGATACAGGTTTCCAAAGTTTTGGAAATTTGTCAAACTTGAAAATTTTAAACTATTTCATCTTTGATCATATGCAATTACCTTTATATCTTCAATAACCTGTCTTATATGATTCAATGATATAAATTTGTATTCATTTTAACATTCAGAAGGAGAGGTGAGGGAGACGGAGATCACTTTTCACAACCAGAAGACTGAAATTGAAATAAAAAATTTATTTAACAAACATTTACATCAATTTCATACAAAAATTGTAAATGAAATTTTCGAAACTTGAAACTGTTAAGCTAATTGTCATGTTTATGTCTTTAATAACCTGCCTTATAAGAGTTAGTGAAGTAAATATTTATTTAATTTATTATTTTGAAGGAGTAAATAAGGAAGATCCAAAATCTTTGAAAATATAACAAGGAACTGATGAAAACATTATATGCTGGAAGAAATATGTAATGCGCAGATGAAGAGATTAGTACTATAACTAGGTCATTTTTGAGAACTGAATGAGGTGACAGAGGACCATTTATGACAACATTAAGCCAACTGCTGAATCTCAGCGACCGAAAAACTAACTCAAGTCAAAGTCGTCAAACCGCCATGCCATGTTTGGACGACATTTTAGGACAGTGCGACCACTTTTTTTTGTAGATCAACTTGGTTTTTTTTTAATATATAGTTTCAAGGAACACAACGATATGCAATTTATAGTGATGTGGGAGGAGGGCCTGGTCCACGGACTATTCTCTCCCACCAAACCTTTCTCCCTCTCCGTTATACCTCATTCAAAATATTAAAATGAATAAATATTTACTTCACTGACTCCTATCAGACAACTTATTGAAGATAAAAGGCAATAGCATATGATCGAACATTAAAAATAATTTAAATAGAAAATAAAATTTTCTAAACTTTGAAACCTGTATCTCGTGAACAGTTTGATTTACCGAGCCTATTCTGGTCTTGAATTGTAGCATATTTAATCTAATTTAAAAAAAATACGAGTGTTTTTTGTCAAAAATATGCTGCTTCATGGATAAAATGGGGGAAAACCGAAAGTGTAGCAGTTTTTGAGAAATTCAAAAGTGAGCCTGAGGGGCGCCAAGGTCGAAAACTATGATTTTATATCTCAGTCATATTCCATACAAGAAAATAAAAAGAAACCTTCGACCCCCATTTAATAAAACTTATGATGTACAAGGTTACTACGACAAAGTGGAAAAAGTAATATTTTTTTATTCAGAAAAGCTATCCATTGCCTGCCACAATCCTGCTTTTTGTGTCTATCCTTACATTGTTCTCAGCTCCTTGGGATCCCACATACATGAAACAGACACAAAGAGTGAACTCATGGATTTTTTAAAAGATCATGTGCCTTCATAGAAAGGATGTCTCTTAACTCATATAGACACTTTTCCCATCATTTACTTCAAATTCTATTTTGGTACTTGTGAGCAAGCTGGTCACCACAGACTGATAATATCTACCTTCTTATTTAATTTCATGGAAATTGAAATAAACAAAAACAAATGTAATAATAACAAAACACTTTTATTTTTATTTTATTTATTTTGGGAGACAAAATAACTTAGTGCTATTTAAAATAGCAAGGAACGGGTCCTCTTCTCTGTGGACCTGCAACCACAAATATTCACATAAATATGAATCCAGGCGTTGTCTAGCAGTTCCATGATGTTTTCAATTTCTCCACTTAGCTGAGCTTCATAATCGTTCTATGAGTTGAGTATAACCCCAATTGAAGGATCGACAAAGCTATACCGGTGATTCACCTGGAAATGGTTGTAATTTCTTCATTTAGTTGTTGGGCCTTGTTTTCTTTCCAACAGTCAGAACGCATAATGATTCTCTCTTCTATATTATTTTTACATTCTAATAGAGTTGTTGCTTTTCTGTATTTTATTTTTACAATGAAATACTTGTCTGTTTCTTGACAAACATTCATTGTTACGAGATCACTCTCCCTACATGATTTTTTTCTATTATAAAAAGACTTTCATTTATTTCAACTAACTTTCCAGGCCCTTCAATTTTTTTTAGTTTTTAGTTGTTTTTCTGCCAAAATGTTATTGTTACCAATTTAAACAGAAAATAAAAAAAAACTGAAAACAATTGAATAACAAGAAGAACACACTAGTAACTAGCAAAGACAAGTGATAAGAAGAGCTTGCAGGAGATAAGAAGGTAGGATCCATGGCGACCTGCTAAGTCACAAGCACTCCTCTTTCTTTTTCTGTGGTATCAAACTAAATAGATCATCCTTGCTGACAGTACCACATTAACTGTGTAGGCAAGACAAGTTATTCTGTTACATATTGTACCACTTGAGTTAGTTTTTATCGCTCTGATTGCAAATTCCAGAACCAAGTTAAATAGCACGTGTGACAGAGGATCACCCTCACATATTCCATTTCTATCTGAAAATTCAGTTTATCACATGTTTTCCAGTTTTCATTCAATCAGAATAGCCTAATTATCTTATTTGGAATGGCCAAATCTCTCAGGACCCTCAGTGGTTCCTCTATTTATAACGTCATACGTCTCCCTGCAAAAAAATATGCAATAGAAAATACAATTAATTGCATCTCAGCAATTTGATTGATATTTGATATCAGCTGTTTAAAAACTGTATGCAAAGAAAATATACAATAGCATAAAAATGAGGGCCTTGCGTGTAGTAAGCGAATTGATATTAAATTCAAAGAAGTTATCGTAAGTGGCTTGCTTCCAACACTAAAAAGAGACTTAAAATTTAGTAGCAAATTAATTAACTTTTAGAAAAAGTGTAGATTTATGAAGTCAAAAGAATAACAATCTAGTTTTTGATTAATCAGTTGTTAAATTTTGTATTAAAAAAAAAACTTGTAACACTAACAACCCATGAAGGGTTATGGGTTCAGTAGAATGTGAGGAAGTACTGTTACAAGGCCAATGGTTGTGCAAGGAGGTGACGGACCAATATCACGTTCAATCAACTGGTTTTTCACCTTAATTAATTATTACTTAAATTTTGTATAACAAAAGTATATATATTTCTAAATAAAGATAGTGAAATATTTTTGATATCATCAGCCAAGGAAGTAGTAATGGAGAGGATGATATGTTTACAGATTATATCAAAACAAAATATAGTTCAAATAAGCATACACAAAACCATGATTCTTGAAAATATAACCTTATGCAACATAGCCTGACATCCTAAAATTAGCAAGCTTATCATGGCACAGACTCTTTTGTTTAAATGAGAATGAAAAGCACAGAAGTTAGAGATAACAATATTTTTCATCAAAACTATAATCAATATCGTTTGGAAATGATCAATTAAAATAATTTAAGGAAGAACACTTGAGGAAAAATACAAAGAACTTGCTCAAATAAAAATAATATAAGAACACAAAATATGGGTTAAAGCAGTTTTTATTTACAAATAAAATATTTGAAAGCAGAAAGCAATCAATATTTATTTTAACAAACAAGAGGAAGAATTTCTCCGCATCTACCACTTATTTTTAAAGAAGCGAATTGTTCACCTCTTGTACTTCCGATATTCACAATTGCAATAGACTTTTTTCTTTCATGTGCTCTTAATAAAATGCGGTAACTTGAAAAAACTGACAATGAGGTACCTAGAACTAGTAATGAATCACTATTATCTACAATTTTTTCAACATAGGCATGCCTTTCCTTGGGTATGGTGCCTCCAAAAAAGACAATGTCTGGTTGGATTATCCCACCACAATTATAGCAATCTGGAACAGTAAAGTGTTTTTCCAAATTCTGAAAAAAAAAAACAATAAAAAATGCTTTAATAACAGTTACATAGATTTATAGAATAACCATAAAATAATTAAAAATATTTTTTATAACAGCTATTTATAATTTTCCTGGTTATGAATTATGGTTTTCTCCAGACATTTTACAATTCGTTTTATATCTCAAGGATTAAAAAGTTTTAGAACTGTTATTAATAGCCTATTTATTCTTGCACTTGCAAAGTTGATTCAATGTAATCTGCTGAACATGATTTTATAATTCACAATGGAGGAATCTAACAATTTTAGTGACCAAAATTAACAATTAAAAACAATTTTTTAATTCATATATATATATATATATATATATATATATATATATATATATATATATATATATATATATGTTAAGAAGACATGGACCACACTGAGGACATCGACCCACTTGAGGTTGAAAAACCAGATATTCTGGATGTGGAAATAGCTATCGGCAGACTTAAAAGAAGAAAGGCTCCAGGAATAGACAACCTACCATCAGAATTGTTCAAGGATGGGGGAGAAGAACTCAGAGCCTAGCTGTTAGGTCTAATCCAGAAGATATGGGAGAAGGAACGGATACCAGAAGCATGGGACACAGGGTTGATCTTTCCTACCCTTAAGAAGGGCTCCATGTATGAATGTGGCAATTACAGAGGCATAGCACTTCTTCCGGTCGCATATAAAATAATGACTAATATACTGCTAAATCGGATATATCCGTATTATGAAAACATAATAGGCGACCATCAAACAGGATTCAGGAGAGGGAGGAATACGCTAGATCAGATATTCATCCTAAAACAAGTACTTGAAAAACGATGGGAAGTAGATCAGGATGTACACGCATTATTTGTCGACTTCAAATCAGCCTATGACTCTGTTGACAGAAACTGTCTCAGGAAGATCATGACTGAGCTTCGTGTTCCAGGGAAATTAGTGAGGTAGACAAAGGCGTGTACAAATGATCCTAAATGCAGGGTACTAATACAAGGAGAAGTATCTGAAGCCTTTGAAAGACAGGCCGATGCTGTTCAACTTAGTACTAGAGAAAGTAATAAGAATAACATCATGCGAAGATGGAGGGGTGCACATTGGAATGAAACATAAAATCCTAGCATATGACGATGGTATAGCTGTCCTTGGAAGTAATCAAGAGGGTATTGAGAGACTCGCTCGGACTCTGTTAAAAGAAGCAGAGCAAATCGGACTACAGGTCATTGTAGATAAAACAAAATACATGATAGTTAGCCGAAACATCCACCCTAATAACATGATCTGCGTGGACTTTAAGTCATTCCCGAAAGTAGACAGATTCAAATACCTCGGCTCCACAATAACCTCAATAAATGATCAACAAACAGAGATAGACCAGCGAATAACAAGTGCCAACAGATCTTTCTTCTCTCTCTCTCAAAGGTACTGAAATACAGAAAAATCTCCAGAAATTTAAAAATAAGGGTGTACACCGCCGTGATTAAGCCAGTTCTGCTGTATGGTTGTGAAATCTGGACTCTAACCGGCACACTAGAAGCCAGAATTGAGAGATTCGAAAGAAAAGTTCTACGTAGGATAACAGGACCTATATGGGACCAGAACCTTGACACATGGAGGAGAAGGAACAATAAAGAACTGCTGAAAGAAACGGGTCAGTCAATATTTCATGACATGAAAGCAAGGAGGTCAAGATGGGCAGGGCATGTAGCTCGTAGCAATCCTTCAGGACGCCTTTACATGACAATGAATGCCAGAGTAGTAGTCAAGAGACCACGTGGAAGGCCAAAAACCAGATGGATAGATAGGATAAACAAAGATACGGCTGAGCTTCATGCCGCAAACTGGAAAGCAGTAGCCCAAGATAGGCAGAGGTGGGGAAGACTGGTTCAGGCGGCCAAAGATCTATAAGGTCTGTAGAGCCAACGGAAAAAAAAAAAAAAAATGTACCACTAACAACCCCTGAAGGTTCAATTTCAATTCAAAGTTCAATGTGAGGAAGTACTGTGTAACAAGGGCAACAATGACAGACCAATATCACGCTCAACCACCAGGTTTTCCTCCTTAAATAATTATTTAATTCAGAGTACCCACTTTATAGAGGCTGGGTTAGCCCCAGGAGGGTCCCCCGACCCCAGAGTCGATCCACGGCTGATAATAAATTACTGATCATCAGCCGGAATTGAACCTGGGACCTTGAGCTTTAGAAGTCAGTGCTCACCCCCTGAGCTACTCTGATCCCCCATCTATAAATTTTTTTTTTTTTCTTTTAATGCTTGTTCTTCCAAAAATACACTTTTCTTTCTATCTTCACAAATGGCAGAGAGAGAGAGAGACACATTAAACTTCAAAACAGTTGCCATTGGATCATCACTGCAAGAACTTTGGCCTTGATGCCAAAAAAAAACCAGCAGTCTCCAAGAAAAACTGTGGACATTTATACTAACTTTACATATTTTAAACATGACATATTTTGGACATTTAAACAACTGTGTGCAGAATGTATCTTGGAGTACAATAGGGAAACCCCATCATTTTTTTTTTATTCAACCTTAATCAGCAAACAACCTGCTACTATATAGCATATATAGTTCGACACAATTTATAAGGACCACTTTATTTAAAAAGTACCATAAAAAATGTAGAGTAACGACTATGGTATAGCTGTACAAATATCACTACAGCATGCAAAGTGGGTCAAGATACTCTGATCACACTACCAATGTAATTCCAAGAATGGCCTAGGATTAGCTGTGTTAACAGTATATATAATATACCCATTAGATAAGAAAATTTGACAATCTAGTCAACAATATTAATTATTAACGAAATAAAAATTAATTAATAAAATTGACAATAAAAACTTATTAATTATAACTTAGATATGTGTAAAAAACATACCTCATCTATATCAACATCACCATCTGGATTAGTAACACAATTTTCAATTAATATTCCATCATTCAACTTCTTTAAAGTATCTTGAAAGACATTTCTATCTGTAATCATACCACAATTTAAACACTTTACTCTAAATGCAGTACCATGAAGTTCAACAACATTTTTACTTTTGGCTTTAAAATGAAGACTATCAACATTTTGAGTAATTATACAAACCAACTTGTTTTTATTTTCCAATTTGGTTAATGAAAAATGTGTAATATTAGGTTCTTTCTTTGAAAAAGTGGGCCATCCAACATAATTTCTCAACCAATACCTCTGTCTGATACGACTGTCTGAAACAAATTCACCATGCTGAATAGGTCTGTAAGGTTTTAATCTTTTTCTAGAATAAAGTCCAACCTCTTCAGATCTGTAGTCCGGAATTCCACTTTCAGTTGAAATACCAGCACCAGTTACAACTAGCAACTTTCCATTGTTATAAATAAATTCAGAAAGATTTTTTACATCACAATCAGATATTGGTGAATGTTTAGGGACGCAATGTAAACGTTGAGTACTTGATTTAATAAGCAGAGTAGCCATACTACATAAAAAACTAAAAAACTAGCTTATGTATTAATCTAGTGAGTGTCAATTTGACACCTTTATAACATATCTGTCATCATAGAATGATGGCGTTCAGTGATGCGTGGTCAAATACAAGAACATCTTTTGACGATTTTAAAATAAATCATTACTTGTTTAAATAACGATCCACAAATAAAGTGAAAATTTTTTCCGATAAAAACTGGTTACTTTGAACTGATTCCTTGAGCACTTCTGTATTAGCCGTAATAGTCTTACTTTTATTGTGCTACTGATTATTCAATACTTTAGGAGATGATCAAGTATGATGCTTAATAGGCAACTTTTTTTTTAATAACCTTCTTGCAATTTTTCTTGAAAGTCTTTATTTACTTGTTCTATTTTCAACTTTACGACATTCCATTTTTTTTTTTTTTAGTCTATGTATTTTACACTTTGCCATATAGGCAGAAGTTGCTATTACCAGGAAATGATCCGAGTTAATATCTGGTTCCTGGTAAGACCTTACATCATTTACCTCATTAAAATGTTCGCTGAGCTCTAGCATGCGGCCACTCCGTTGGGCGAATACACCAGCTGTGTTTATGCTTTTTCTTGTATGTGTAGGTGTACAATAATGGGGGGCCCGGTACATGCCATATGACCGGAATCCGTTTTCTTGTGTAATTAGAATTACCTTCTAGTAGAAATTACCTGTAATAATTCCCCTCTCCTTTACACAGTGATCTACCGTCCTCCCCTTGTTCCATTTGATCCGTCCTTAGAATAAACCCTTCTCAACTTTGTTCCCCTCTATCCTAGAATAATCATCGCCGGTGACCTCAATACCAATTTTCTCTCTAATTCCAAAGACAAAACCTATCTAGAAAACCTATTTTTTCCCTTCATCTCTTTATTGTTCCATTTTATCCTACTCACCATACCCGCAAGGCCGACACTTGGTTAGATTTCTTCATTATAGACTCCGAACAAAATTTCCTCTCCTCTTCTCAACTGCCAATATCCTTCTTGTCCTCTCACGACATGATCCTAATAACATATAATATCGAAAACCCCTCTGATTCATCCGAGAACCTTCACTTTCCGTCAGATAGACACTCTCACCCGTGAAAAATACTACCCGACCTTGAAACCTTAAACTTGAACGAAACATATTCCTGCTCCTCCATCGACTCCAAGGTTGAGATTCTGACTTCCAATCTCCTCAATATCCTTAAAACCTATGCTCCCATAAAAAACTCAACCTTTCGCCGCCGGCCTGCACCTTGGATGTGTCAAGAAATTAAGGATCTGCAGAAGGGGCGTGATGCTGCCCGTAGACGCTTTAGACGTACCAGGCTTACAGATGATTATCAAGCGTTTAGAGTGCTCCGCAATTTGACACAAACAAGAATTCGGCGAGCTAAAGCTTCCTACTTCCATGAAGCCATCTCATATGCTCCAGATCCCAAATCTAAATGGCTAATCCTTCGCAAACTTTCCCTCTGTGAACCGTCCAGATCCCCTTCCTCACTGGTCTTCCCCGTTTCACCTGACGATTTAAATGAACATTTTATTTCTGCCTCCTCTACCTCTTCTTTTACCGTCTCTTCCCACTTTGCTCCTGAGTCATCATTTAATGATGATGACTTTTATTTCTCCGACATTGCCCCGACTGACTTATTAACCGCAGTAATGAAATCCCACACCAATTCCATAGGACCAGATGGCATTCCTGTTAAATTGATAAAATTATGTCTCCCCGAAATCCTCCCAGTTCTCCTTTTCATCTACAATTTCTCCCTACAGAACTCAATATTCCCTACCTCTTGGAAAAAAAGCCATTGTACTCCCTTTAAATAAAAAGCCTAATCCATCCTCTCCCGATGACTTTCGGCCAATCTCAATTCTTTCCAATCTCTCAAAACCCCTAGAAAGATTGGTGCAATCCCAAGTTTCCAATTTCCTTGAAAAGTCCAACCAACTTGATCCTCTCCAATCTGGTTTCCATCCCGGCTACTCCACACAATCTGCCTTAATCAAAATCACCAATGATGTTCAGACTGCAATGGATAATAAACAATTAACGGTCCTTATACTTCTTGACTTCTCTAAAGCCTTCGATTCCATCAACCATCCCATCCTTTTCAACAAACTAAAATCACTTTCCTTCTCCAATAGCTCCATCTCTTGGTTCCAATCTTTTCTCTCACAACGCACCCAAGCAATCTCCATTCCTAATCAACCATTATCTGCCTACCTGCCTTTATCCTCTGGAGTTGCCCAAGGATCTAGCGTATCTGCTCTCCTTTTTAGTTCCTATATTAACGACCTCCATGACTCAATTCTCCATTGTTCCCACCACAAAACACAATTTCGCAAATATACCTATCATTTTCTCCCCCTGAGCTATTGGTAGCATTTACTAAGATCCAAGCAGACCTAGATCGAATCTGTGCTTGGGCAAATTTAAACGGATTAAGGTTAAATGCTGCAAAAACTCAGGCTATTGTCATTGGTTCTAAGCCCCTCATTAGATCCTATACCGACTTTCCCATACTAAACCTTGGTGACCAGCCAATCTCCTTCTACTCCACTGTCAAAAATTTAGGACTATTTATTGATCAAAACCTCTCCTGGAATCACCATATTTCTCACATCTCCCGACGGACAATTTTTACCCTCAAATTATTCCATCGCTTCCGCCATCTCCTACCTCAACATACGCGTAGATTCTTGGTTTCCTCTCTCATCTTCCCCCACTTTGACTACAGCTGTGTGGTGTATGGTGGACTCTCGGTGGAGCTCCGTGACAGACTGAAAAGATTAATGAACAGTTGCGTGAGATTTGTAATTGGTACCTCGAGATACTACCATGTCTCTCACCACTATACTGAGTTAGAGTGGCTTTTCCCCTCAAATCGAAGACAATATTTCGTAGGTACATTCCTCTATCATATCATCAACAACCATCGTCCTTCTTACGCCTACAAACTTCTCCAATTCAAATCCTCAGTCCACTCCCTTTCCACAAGATCTCGACCTTCCGACCTTTACATTCCTTCTCACAGATCTGCCTCGTTCCAAAACTCCTTCATAGCTCGCTCTGTTAAATTTTGGAATTCCCTTCCTATAAAAATTCGGCATTCTTCATCCCTGTCTACATTCAAAACGCTCCTATTCCAATACTATTCCATTCCTGTCCCAAAAACAGTCAGATACCCGCTAACCGTGTATGAAAAACTACTTATTATTCATAATAATGTATTTACCTATAGCTCATAACTGAAATACTTATTAGCAGATTCAACTTTTTTTTTTTTTTTCTAAAAGTATATATTTATATTTTACAATTGTTCAGTTTTAAGTGTCTTGGCAAGGTTCAAGAGTTTTGTATATAGATTTTTTTTTTAAATTTTATTTTGTATATAGTATGTAAAACTAATGTTTTCTTTACTGATTTAGCTTTACTTTTACTTCTTATGTTTGTTTTTATTTGGCCAGATACAACATATTAATTTTGTAATTTTTTTGTTATTCTGAAGGGACTTCGTCCCAGAATAAAATTATTTTCTATTCTATTCTATTCTAATTATATCATATATAATAAAGTTCTAGAATAGTGTGGGGAATATTTGTGAATGAGTTGAAACTTTAATATTGTTAATTTTGTTTATTGATTTAAACTGATATTCCTGAAGGGGCAATAGATTTTAGTCGTGCTAGTTAAATAAGGAATATAATTATAACATACATAAAGGGTCTGGTCTCATTACAACTAAATATTTATCTCATCTGTTTTCCTCCCCTGGCCGCTTGCCGTAGCGCCTTTATATCTCCCAAGCCAGTGTTGCTGTCTCCCGCGTATGTAGCCGGTAAGGCTGTTGAGATCTGTGGTAGAGATAGAAATGTAGGTAGGGCCAGGATAGCCGTATAGCTGTTGTCCTGTTGACAACAGATGAAATAATAGGGTCGAAACAGGGGCGCTGCACTTGATTTTTGCCTCCAAGATAACGCCGCACACTGGGGCGAAACACCAAATTATTGGACATTGTAGTTTTATGGCCCGACTGTTGGCCAGAGGAAAAAAAGTTAAGCACAAGTTACCCCCATTATTTTTTAACGAGGAATCGATTTCTGTATTCAGATTTTAATTTTGATGTACAGGATGGCCCAGAAGTTTTTTTTTCTGTTTTTTGTTGTTGTTTTTTAAATTGGAACCCTATGATTTGACGCCGTAAATTGATTTCAAACCCTATATCCAGCAACTTTTACTTAGGTCACTAAGTAGCAACCGTATAAAACTAGATAAGAGCAACCGTATAAAAGGGTTACGGGTTTTTCCGGCAAACCAAACCCCCCTTTTCTATATAAGAGTAGGTACCCTTCAATTCACAATAAAAATACATGAACGAAATCCATAAAAATTTTTGTTAAAAATATCATAATTAGTTACTTTTACTAATTAAGTTTGTGCATAATTTGTATAACAAAAATTATCCATTACTTAATCATCTATAGGTATGTTGGTTTAGTTAAATATTAAAAAAAAGAAAGTAGAAACAATTAATTTATCAACAAGTTTAGAGCATCAGGTGATAATTCTTGTTTTAAACAGGCCATTTTTTACCGTAAAGAAGAAATCATCATCAAATTTAAATCTTTTTTTCATGGAATATGAAAAAGTATCATCTGGAGCTTCTCTTAACTCTTGAGTTTTTCTTCGCTTTTGCATATCAGATAACACATCAAAAGACTGAGAACGGGATGGAACGTTAGTAGAAGCATGAAAGTAGATCAAAATTTTATTCATGAAAAACAACAAAATCTAAATTTAACGAATTTGCGTTACCTTTTAAAAAGTCTGATAGATTCCTATTCAATTTTATCCAATGCGAACACAAATTTCCACAAAACTTGCGAAATTTTTCGCGCACAGAACTCCTTTTTCTTAGGAATATCTTCGAGTCCAAGATCGTGAATCCATTGCCCATATGCCCGGTCATAATCTTGGAAACTTATATGGTTTGTTCTGAAAAAATAAAAAAATTTTGTTCATATTGCTATTAAATACATGCTGAATTTCATTTCTTCATTGACTTTCTTGTTTTTACAATTCATGAGAATTAAAGACAATAATACGTTCATAAAGTATAAGCAAACATTTAAAACTAAAATACTGGAATTTATAGCGACAACTTTTGAATAAAAGCAAGAGCTAAAAGGAAAAAAATTAAAAATTAAAAGTAAACTATAAACCTTCTAGTTAATTTCTGTGGAGGTGGATTTCTGAGCGATTTTCGTTATGAATGTTTTAAATTTTTTTCATGTTTTTCATTAAAAAAACTTTAAGATTCTATAAAAGTTCAAGCTGCATAAACTTAAATTGTGATAATAAAGTTAATTTGTCGTAATAAAGATCATTCATTAATTTTGGTTCATCAAAATAATTGTGGTACTTTTTTTAAGAAGAAGAACTAAGAACAGCTTAACCAAACAAATATGAGGAAATTCAAAATTTCAGATATTGGTCCTATGTCCACCAAATACATAGGTTCGACCCACTGTGCGCCGCACAGTGGTTGAAAATCTGCTTTTTTAGGAAAAAAAATCCTGGCAATAATGATCTATAAGTCACAGACAAATAGTTTTGATACCATCATAATCACTACTAAATTTCCTATAAAATAACTACAGTTGAATCCCGTTTAACTGGTTCTCCGGATTATCCAGGGATAAAAAGAGATGAATCAGTTTTCCACTCACAATAAGATAGCTTCAGCTAACTAAATTATTATTATTAATTTATTTATTATTTTTTAAATTTATTTATTAAATTATTACACAAATGACATAGGAGTTTTATTGCAACCAATCTGAACCTGTGAACTTATATTAAGAGAATTAATGGGGAACTAACAAAGAGAAAATTAACAGGGTAACAAATAGTAAAAATTTTGCTACAGTGTGAAAGAAAAGGGATTATGTATTTTACGTTTTTCAATAGCCTACCCAGCACTTTTATTGTAATTGATGGGAACACTTAAAATCGGTTAAGCAAAAAATAAATTTTAATTTCATTTTAATCGGTCATGTCTCGATTCTGACTAGGATGGATAAGAGAGGTAGCATTGTGGTTTAAAAAGTTTTTACAATTAAAGTAATAAGTCAATTTATATCATAAACTCATTCCATGAAATTATTTTATAACAACGAATTATTTTTCAAATTCGAATTAATAAAATATTTACTAACTTATATACTACATGATAAGAATACGAAGATGTTCCTCATTTTTATCATAATAAATAGAATCTGAAGAAATATTTTTTTAATTTAATTTTTGTTTTATTTATATATTTTTTAAAACATATAATTAAGGAAAAACATATATCTAAGGAAAAGAATTTAAATTAAATACAAAGATATGGCAACTTTGGTATCATATAAAAAAAAATACAATAGAGTTTTGATTTTTAATGTGGATAAATAAAACCTAACCACTTCTTTTTTTCAAAATTAATTGATATTTTTAAGGCTCAATGACTAATTTAAAATATAACGGAAAGATACATTAATTTATATAACTTAACAATATACATAAAATTATAGCCTTATTAATTTAGGGTTTTTCCCCTTTCAAATAGACACTCCATAAAAAATTAACAAGTTTAAATCAATTTACATCATTAAATTACAGACGCAGATGGACACAGCTGGAACCTGTTTTAATATTTTTAATAAGGGTTCTAGTCTCAATAAACGAATATATGTTAGACTCTCGGTCGGCTGTGATAAAAAGGTTAGGACCAACAAAATTTTTTTTTTCTATTTATTTTAGTACTTTTCAAAATAATATTGTGGACTTGAAAATACAAATAAATAATTTATTTTTTCACTCAGTGTATCATTTGGAATAGCTATCCATTATTAATTATTAAAAGAAATGGTACCAAATATACAAAATGTGAGTGAAAAAAATAATAATAATGTCGAACAATTTTCATTGGAATTCAAATATTATTCCATGGTCGGATTCAGAAGGCTCATATAACATTAAAAATCAATATTTTACTAATTTAATTAGTTAAATATCTTGGGCAACTAATATATTTTTGATCAAAAAAAGTTGTATTCCGCCTTTCAACCACTGTGCGCCGTCCGTGAGGTGGAGTAAAACCTATTAGACCAATGGGCCCGTGTGTAAAGCATACAAAATGAAATCGAATATATGTATAATAAATCATACAATTTAATTACTAGGATGTAAATCCGACTGTGAGAGTGTTATCCTCATTATTACATGGCTCCGCGAGGTCGCAAAATTTATCATCCGTTCTCCATTATCGTTTGTTTTACTGTGGAAGCTTTTCTTTCCCATATTATGCATAGATATTTCTTCTTTCCCTACCTGAGCCTTGAAATCACCTACTACTACTTTTATGCCAGTTATAATGCAAGTTTGAAAAACCCTGTTCAGTTCTTCATAAAATTTATCTTTTTCTTTCTCACTCTTTTCCTTTATTGGTGAGTTGGCATTTATTAAGGTCGTATTACTTGTCTTTCCTCTCATTCGCAACAAAAACATTCTTTTATTAATAGGTTTAAAATTTAATACTGCAGATTTCAGTCTTTTGGAGAATATAAGTGCTGTCCCCAAAGCATGTTTATCCTGACCCCCACTATAGAACATTGGAGACACCCGACTATGAATACTGCCACATTCCTTCTATCAGACTTCTTCATTAGCTACCATGTCCTCTTTTATCCTGTTAAGTTGGCCTATTAATTCTCGGAGGGCGTCAGCTCGATACAGCGTCCTAACATTCCATGTCTCAAATGTACTGAGCCTTCGGCTAGCTGGTTTACAGTAACGTTAAAGGTATTTGTGTAGGACGGGTTGTTAGCCTTCCCTCCGACCCTCCTGTTTTATCCGGGCTTGGGACCGGCAGCAGGGTCTAGCAAGCTAAACTCGCAGGCACAGTTTTCACATTTATTTAACATGCTGAAGATCGTTATTTTGAATATTTTTGTAGGCCACCTTTTTTCTTGATCTTATGATCAAATTATCTTACGATTCAAGTGGAATACAAATGGGCGTTTATAGGATTTTAATTACTAATTATATTGATATCTTTAATGTTCTATTTATATGATAATTTTCATAAATAAAAAAAAAATAGGTTACAATAAAATCAAGCTATTTAAGAAGTTTTAGACGAAAGTTAATAATTTAATAAAAAGAGGTCTCTACCGCGGACTAATAGGGACATGAACTCTCATTTTGTGATTTCGGCCCAATTATCTATCTTCACAATCTTTGGCCTTATAAAAGTACTTCCTCACATAGTACTAATACCAAAACCCTCCATGGGTTTTAATGGTACAGGTTTTTTTATATGTGTTTCTACGCAAAAAAAATATATATATAATCTTACCTCATCTTCTCTTAACTGGTGGTATATATATATATATATATATATATATATTATATATATATATATATATATATATATATATATATATATATATATATATATAAACTCATAATAGTGGTTAAATAGTTGACTGTCGTGAATAATGAGAAGAAGAATAGTTGGGGTGATCAGTCAAATAAGAAGGCAAAATAAATGATAATATTTATTTTGTCATTTGCCGACGTTTGGATCTGAAGTTCAGCCCTGATGATGGCCTGAACTTCAGGTCGAAACGTCGGCAAATGAAAAAATAAATATTATCATTTATTTTGCCTCTTATTTGACTGATCACCCCAACTATTCTTCTTCTCATTATATATATAAACAATCGATGCAGTATTTTCTTCGACCTCTTTGGTAACCATGTGATACACATGCGGTTCATTATTTATAAACATGTTTAAGTGTCACTTGATTATTAGATCTGTCGTATTGCCATACTTTTTGTAATACTTCGTTCTAAGTAATTATTTTAATTAAGTGTATTCAGTGAAATTATTTATTGCATTGGTTTTATTGAGCCTGCCGTTTTCTATTTTCACATAGTAGTTTTTTGAAGTTTGAAATCTTTGAAGTTAAAATGGTAAGAAATCTTTGTTTTAATTTATTTTTTTATTGTCACCATTCACTCCTCTCCCGAACAAATTTGGGTATTATTATTGTCACATCTTATTACTTTTTGTTTATAGGTTTTAGTGAATATTTATTTTTAATTTGGGATTCTATTTCTTTGACTGTTCTCAGTAAGTTAGTTTTTATGTTATAACAGTATCCTACATTTTATTTTGACTACTTGCATGAACTGGTTAATTTTTAGGCTTGCAATTTTTGGAGAGTTAACAGGGCCCCATATATCAGTCTCCGTTTTCCCCTTCCTCTTTGTTTATTTTCCATCCTTAGTTATTATTTAATAAATTTTCAATACTTTCTATTTTTATATAAAAAAAAGGTAATGAATATTATGGAATTGAAGACCCTTGTGAAATTCTAACATTTACCTATAGAGATTCTGACACATTACTTATATTATTTGTCTCACTGTATAAATATAGTAAAAAGTTTCAGTTCAGAAATGTCACTTTGAGCATGGTGTTGATGTAATCTCATAGCTTGTCGACTGACTACAAACCGTTTTTATGAAAGGTATATAATTAGCAACATGAACCAACTTATCAAAATGATTGTCAGCTGTTCATCAAAAGTTTCACTTCTTCTTAGGAAACAAATATTGAAATGAACATAGTTTTATTTTTTCGACCTACGGTAATAATCATCAACCGCACTCTTAAGAATTATTAAGCACAATCTATAATTACGGTGCTTAGAATTAAGTTATAGTGATTAAATTCAAGCACTGCTTCAATAAAAATTAATATAATAAATCTATTTCTTTGCCTTCTACCATAGTACAATAAATAATATTTGTTTAATTGTCTAAAACTGAGTGTGTTTTCTGCCATTATGTAAAAATAACATTTTCTAGTTTTTCATTAGAAAAACTATTTTACTGCATTTTTGACATGTCATGATTGTCAATACTTGACTACTTAGGCATTCCTCAGGATTCCATCAACTGTGTTCACAATGTGATTTTAAAAAACCACCCACCACATTAAAGTAGCAATCCAGAAGTAAAATCAGAATAATTTATTTATTATGCCTCTACCTGTAAGGTAATGGATGAATAAGTTAAAATTATTATATTCTGCTATGAATTTTATGTTTTCTGAAATAGTTTAGTAATGGTAATGTAATTTCATCATCATAATTCTGAAGGATTTCTTTCAATTTTGTACCCATGTTCAATTTATGACATTGAGAAGAGAAGGTACTGCTTTCTAGAAACAATCCATTTTTATTTATTAAAAACTGACCTGGGAGGATCATAAAATCAGTTGTTATCTGAGGCTTGTTAAATGTTAATTTTAGGTATCAGATATTGCCAAACAACAATGGATAATTTTATTTTATTTATCATCATTGGATGTAACAGTCATATCCTTGAATTAGGCTTCATAAACTAATAGGGTGTATAAAATATTACTGTTTTTTAACCAAATATTTGTATTATTATTTCTTTGATATAAAATACTATTAATATTCAAAGTATAACCCATTGTTATCTTCCGTCATTAGCCATCTGCTAGCCAAGGATCACACGCTGATACCATTCTTTGGGATGGCTGTCAACTCCCCAAAGAACTCTTAGACCGCAATTTAAACTTCAGCAAAATTATCAAATTTTTTCCCTTGAAGAAAATAGGTCAGGGATCTAAATAAGTAGTAATCCAATGGTCTGGCCTATATGGTGGATGAGGCAGGAGTTCGAACTCATAAAGTTTTTTAAACTTTTCTCTGGTTCGACAGAAAGTGTGAGGATGACCATTATGTTGGAATAAAATTCCTTTTCGGTTGATAGCAGTGCGGGCTAAAGCGCATGCAATAGGTTATCAAAATTAAGCAATGCCGAGCGTGGTTAGCACTTGGATGGGTGACTGTCCACCAGGAAAAGCCATGTTGCCTGAAATCCTCCCCCCCCCCTCACGGGTATGTAAGCCTACTGAAGGCAACTCACACCGACCGAGCATAGGACTGATGACCCTACCCCCGTCTACTTAAATAGGGAATCGGGATGTGGTTTTGTGGTCAAAGATCTTAATGATCTGTAGCGCCAACGAAAAAAAAAAATATATATATATATAAATTAGCATAGGTATAGATGTCTCCAGGAGAGCCAAGCTCCTTCCATAAACTCTTTGAAAATCGAACACTAAAAATATTGCCCATCATAAATAAATCTGGTACTGCCCTTTGTAATGGTTGAAAGTCACTGCTGCAAGTTCACATCGACTTTGAGGGAATAACCAGGAAATATTTCATTTGCACTGTTCCACAGTCAAAAGTATAACATCATATCACAACTGCTTCATCTTGATCCCTCAAGGAGTCAATAAATATAAAATCTGAGATAAATTTCAGCTGTTATAATAGTATTTTGTCATATTCTTTCTATTATGGCTGATATTTTCTATTCAAAATACTTCTAGAAATCATCGCTTCATAGAAGTTGGACTTATTATGTAGTTTATTAGTACATTGATGGTTAACATTGGGGAAGCATGACTTACCCTTATTATTGAACTTGAATTACCAGAAAAAAATGTGTATGTATTAATTAAATTATATCACAAACTCCCCATCTTATTTATTGTTCTCCTTCAGTACAAAAGTAAACCATTAAATTTGAATATTCAGGACGCAGTCATTACAACAATTTTTTATTTGTGCCGTCGTTTTAACCCAAACATGTGGGTCATCATCGGGGCATGGTTCGAGCACTGAAGATATTCAAGTACACTACTTTATTAATTAATTAAGTGAGTTAATTAATTAAGGACTATCAGGTTACCATTGCAATCTGGTTACTAGTTCACAAATGCTATTATGATTTATATGTGAGCTGAGATTACACTGATCATATAGTACATGAAATACTGAAAATAGCTGTGTGTTTCCAAAATAATATGAAGATGACCAATCTCTAAACTAATGCAATTCTAGGAAATTTAATGTTCATCTCCATCATCTTGATTTGTTCCTGTTAATAAAAATTAATAACATTTTGCACTTTTCTTGGAATTTTCTCTAAGTTATATTTATATTATTCTGTTTATTTTATTGTTATTATTTTTTTTTTAGGAAAATGAAATAGAAATGGAAAATCCCCAAGAACTAACTGATGAAAAAGAAGTTCCTAACCTTGGTTTGTCTGATGTCATGAATAAAATCTTAAAAACAAGTAAACCACGGAAGAAGAAAACTATTGTTTTAGCTAAGGCAAAAAAATTATCTGCTAAACAAGCAATTGAGGCTGTTAAAGAGAAAGATTCATTGTCAAATAATCAAGTAAAGGTAAATTTGTAAATCAGTAAGCAATATCATATTTAATTTAAATAATGTGTCAATAAAAAAAAATTAAGTATTTACAAAATGATTAGTAATAAAGTAAAAGTACTGATAATAAATAGCTATAAAAAACCTACATAAATAGAAAATAAACAGAGAAAGCTAAAATAAATAAACAAAATAGTATCTGGTGGTACTTTGAGAGGCTTACGACTTAGATTGTAAAGTGCATTTCATGATCAATCTGATTGGGAATAAAATAATTTGCTTGAAGAGGAGAGATTTGATAGAGGATACTGACTTTGCATGGTGAATATCAGGAGGGATAGAATTCCAGAGGGAGACAGCTAGAGTTACAAAGGATTTATCAAACACAGCAGTTCGGTGTGGAGGAGGATAGAGGTCTGGTGGAACGGGATTGAATGGAGAATTTAAATTGTAGGATCTTTAGATTATAGGAGGGTCACGGAGTTCTAATAGCTTGGTATAGGAAGGTAGCAAGAAAGTACTGACGGCGTTAGTTTTCACATCTTGGATAGGCCACCTCCCAGCCCAGACTTCAATTCTATTAAGCATCTTTGGATCAGCTTGGAACGTCCATCCGTTGACAACAGAATCCTTCATGTGAACCCCAAGTATGTGAATGGGATTAGATTCAAGATTAGGTAGCCAACCTTTTTCGCAGTATATCCTACAGATTATAGATCGTTATTCAAACAAGTGGAGGCAACACTAAGTACCAGAGACTATGATTTTATAATTAAAAAACAATTAGTTGTGTTTTTGTTTAAAAGAGTGATCATTTCCTTTATTTTACATTGCAGATTTTTAAAATGAATTTTTTGGGGGGTTTTCCCTTTATTTGTGGTCTCCTCCAAACAGAAAATGTCACACTGTATTAAGTGGAAAAAATAGCAATTATTTTCATCTTGGGAAAGAAATGACGAAAAAATTTAAGGTTACCTGTTTTTATCACATATTTCATATCATCTGAAATTCAACTGCTTTAAATATTTACATTCTATGGCCCCTGGATACACTGGAGATCTTAAACCCTAGACTGTATAAGATGCACTTGCTTCTTTGGAACCAGCCGGCTGGAGATTTTAGTGTCCATCTTCGTTTCTTTGTTGTGCTGGTCTTGCATACTCTCCCCTCCCATCCCACCCCGCCCTAGAGTCTAGGAAGCAAAATATTTTTGAGGAGGAGCAATCATTGGGCCCAGTCAGCTTATACCGCCAATGCTCAGTCTCCCCTCTCCCTTCTCAATTTTCTCTAAGATGTTGTGATTGACGTCTCTATCAATTGCTTTTTTATTTTCAACTATTATTTTTTTTTTTTTTATCAATTGCTCTGATTTTCAACTACTGCTCTATTTCTTAACCTATTTTTCTTGTTATCCCATGGAAGATTAAAAATTGTATGCCAAAATTGCAATAAATCATTAGTAAAAAAAAGTAATCAAAATAGAAATACAGTTAATCGTATTGTGAACTTTATCTTTCATTTGTTTTTATTACTTCGTTAATGATCAACGTTTCCAGGTCCGTTGTCTGAAGAGTTGGATGATCGATTATTTGTTTTTCAAACTCAGGTACAAAACTAACAGAGATAATTGATATAAACAGAAGGTGCAAGTGGCACGTGCATCTTTGGTGTGAAAGATCTTTCATCAAGATGCAAGAAGCAAATGTATCCTGTATCCAGGATGCATGCATCTTTCATATTCAGTGTGAAAGGGATCTTAGGTTCCTCTGTAAAGCTCATTATCCAAAGGCAGAGCTTCCAAATTTGGTATTCAATGACATTGTTTTCTCTGACCCTCAACCAGGTTCCTAGAGGAATATTCCTCCAAGAGCTTTATTATCACATGCCACTACCACCTGGCTGTTAGCTGCTAATGTATAGGTATAAGATTTCAAAATGGTAATGTAAATGTTCTAACGAAAATTTAATCACAAATTCAAATTAATTACCCAATATTAACTTTTAAAATCCTAATGTTGGTGAAAGTAAGTTGTTAAAAAAAAATTAATTATTTTATAAATTTAATGCAATCAGGTTGTTTTATAAAAATAATAGGATTATTTTAAACACTACATAACTCACAGATTCTGTGATATGTAGATCACAGAATCTGTGAGGTACGGGTTGCCAAACTTTCTCTTTGTTCAGCTATATTTAGAGCTATGTAGAGAGCTAAGTTAAACAGTATGGCCAACAGAGCATCGCCTTGTTGAACTCCACCGTTGAAATGAAATTTGTTGCTCATTCTATTAGTTTTAAGGGAATACTAAACTCCTTAAGGCCAAAGTTAACTGGACTCTATTAACTCGATCGAATGCTTGTTTGAAGTCAATGAAGAGCAAATGTACATTTATGTTGCGCTCATAACATTTTTCCAGTACCTGTCTGATAACAAAGATCTGGTCTATTGTTCTTCTGTTGGGCCTAAAACTACATTAATAGTCAGTTAGAATTTGTTCCGAGTATACCTTCAGTCTAGCCGTTATAAGGTTTGATAATACTATGTAGACAACATTTAGTAGTCTAATACCTCTATAGGGGCCTACCATCTTATTCCCTTTTTTCAGGTTAGTCCAGAAGACCATTCAGTCGGCATTTCCTCCTCCAGTCAGATCCTAAGTATCAGGTCATAAATTTTATTATTCAGAAGTTCATCCCCTATTTTAAACAGTTTAACTGGTATATTATCTTCACCAGGGTCCCTATATTTTTTAGAATATCTATTGCATCCAGAAATTCATCGTGCAAGGCAGTTTCCATATTAGGGGACAAGGAGACACTCTTGTGTCCAATTCAGTGGATGGAGGATTTTTGAAGGGCATGAAGACGTGATCTAAATTTACCATGGGCCGATGAATATGGTTTACTTGTGAGGTTTCATCCATCACCGTCCGTTCCTCAGAGGGAGATTATAAAAAAAAAAATCGTGAAGATTTCTTGATTTTATGCAAAACTGAACTTACCATAGTTAACTGCTTAAATGTTCCCTTTAAATGGTTTTAAAAAATACAGCATCTTGTTGCATTTAATGTAAATTATTTATTTTTTCAACATGATATAATCTAATGGAACCTTGTATTGTTATTTTAAGTATTAATGCTTTTCTACTTTTGTATACTGAGTTGGGTCCTATTAATTGCAGAGACCGAATCATTGGGATGAATAAAATTTGCAAATAATGCATATAGATCCTAAGGGGATATTTAAATGTACCTCAACTTCTCTAAGAGTGATCACTTAATTGATATATTAAATTTCTGTGGTCTTTGTCTCCTGAATTAGTTCCTGTGATCCCACATTCAATGATTCTAATTGTTTTCCCAATATTATCTTGCCATTTATACAATGGTTATTGATATCATTCAGTTACAGATATTAATGTTTTTAAATTTCATTTTACAGCCCTGTGATTGGATTATTAAAGGGAGAATGAAGCCTAATGTTTTGGAGAGAAATTTTGAAAAACGTCTGTTAAAAATTACTGTAAGGTAAGAATAAATTATTTACAATGATTTTATAGTCACCTTGGCCTAAGTACTTGCTTGCAAGAATAGAATCATTGGTTCTGTAGATGGGGTTATAACCCCGGAATGTAAACCTAATTGTGATGAATTTAATAATAAAAAAGGAAGTTTTGAATGCCTTGTCTTCTAAAAAATTTACAACTTCCTATAAAATTTGAAAACACAGCAACCATGTTTTTTCCTGCCTACCTAATCTTTAAATGTATAAGTTTTTCATCACTTCATTGCTGTTTAGGACTGCTTATTGTAAATCCTAATTTATCTTAAATCTTTAGCTCTTCAAGGATACATTATATATCTATTTCCACTAATTTTTATTTCAGGAAATTATTTTTTAGTCTGGGAAAATATTTCTCTTTTAGTTCGCCATAAAATTCATTTTTAGTTTACATTTAACCATTTTTTATTACTTCAAACCTGGAGAGAGGTTAATTATTAAACAAAAACAATTAATTATAAACATTAATTTTTAATCATTTTGTTTATCTTTTAGCTTAAGTCAGTTTTTATTTAAACACCAATATCCTTTTTCCTTGATAAATACCTACCTACATAATTTCTTTGTAATTACAGTCTTTATTTGAAGTATTAACTTAATTTATTTTAATTTACATTGGCATCTATATCATAAATCAATTGTAAAAATTCACCAAGTAAAGTTTTAACTGCGCTAAAGTTTTAGGTACATCTTTTGAATCTTTATCATATTTATCAACAACAGAATCTACATAGAAGGAAAATCATTTCTGTAAGTAGCAGTGTGTCTACTAATCAGGAATATATCTGAAATTTTAAAATTGTGAGTTTGAACCAAGATGAAACACTTAATGATAAGTGAATTGAATATAAAATGGCAATGACGGTAACAGCAAAGACAGTCATAGGGACCGAAGAATTGTGCAAAAGAAAATGTTGGTTTGAAGAGGAATGCAAGCTACTAACCCGAAGAAAAAATCATGTGTGTAGAACAATTGTTCAAAACAATTACATGAGGAGAGATATGTGGAGGAGTACTGAGACATAAGAAGAAGGGAAACCCACATCTGCAGATGTAAAAAACAGCAATGGGAATGTAAAATTCTTAATGAAATCGAGAATGCCTACAAATACAAGAATAGCAGAAACATTTTTCAGATTATCAATGATGGGCCTCGGACTTATAAACCTCAAAACCTAGTCTGCAAGAGGCTATACGGGGTTTTTACCGGGCCAGGGCGTGAGGAGGGTGAGAGAGAGAGAGATAGTTGCAGTTATGGATCATTGGGCAGACTACTTTGAGGAAATGATGAGTGGAGACTGACAGGAAAATCTATCTAGGTGTGCAGCGACCAGGAACTTTATTATTTATTTTTTTGTGTTGTGCTCCTTTCGTTATGACATAAATAATTTTCTAGAATTATACATAATATCGTTAGTCAAAAATGAAAAAAAAATGCGGTGCATAATGATGTAAATATTTCTAATGACGGGAAGAACATTTCCCAAAACATCCTGACCCCTGAAGAATGTAGTAGCAGGAGAAATACTAGCAAAATGTTGACTATATGAGAATAACTCTAAGATTGAGGAAGATAGGTTGAAAATTAAACATTTAAACCCTGTCAGACTACTTGAATGAGGTTTATACCTGATATTAAAGACTGTTTAATTTTATGTTTATATTACAAATTTAATCAAAATTGTTAGTGCTGTATTTGAGAAATTTGTGAAAATTGGTAAAAGTGCCATTTCTAGCTAGTCAATTTTTATGAGAAATTAGTAAAAATTGATAAAAGTGCCATTTCTTGTTTGTTAATTTTGATAAGAAAGTTCTAAAATCCTGGGCATATATTTGCCTATAATATTTTTTTTCACAATTGCAATGCTTTTCTTAACTAAAATATTTCACATATAAGTTAGATAAAGTAAAAATGGATGGCATGTTCAAGATGATCTCTGGTATTTTCAAGATCCGACCTGCAGCATTAGGTCTTACTCAGGATGGCAATACTACACATGGTCTCTTCGACCTTGACTTACTATGCTTTCTGCTTTATAATCTGTCTCAAAATGATAAAATTCCTCATCAAAAACAAGTATCTCCTAAGGATCAGTCATAACCTTGACCCCCACATTGCTCTTATGGCTATATCTTGACCTATACTTCACTATTCCGGTTCTTTCATAGTAATATTGCTCTTTCCTACATCTTTAAGAAATAGCGGATGATACATATGTCGTATTTAATATAACATGGAAAATTATGTGATCAAACAAAAGCAAGAAGCTTCTCTTATTATTATTATTATATTTTTTTTTTTTTGCTCTATTCTTGTGTTGTGGGATGTCAGTAGAGATAGTTGAGTCTCATGCTCCCTTCTTTTCCTGCTAGATTAAGCATAAACAGATGTTGAGCAATTCTTTGCTATTCTTGAAACCACCATATCACATGATTTAATAAAACTTGTTTATTTTATTAACTCAATTCCCGCCATGGATAGTGGTGAATGTATTCCCATCTTCCACATTGAATATCATCTGATAAATGTGCAAGAGCGTGTAATTACATAATTTATCATTATATAAGTTAAGAATTGTATTTTTTTTTTATGTTTATGTTTAGCTAATATTTAAAAATTATATTAAGCTGTATGATATTATTTTGATATGCATGAGGGGCCTATACCTTTTTTTTTTCTTTATTATATTTTCTTTACTATTTATTTTTCTTTCTTTTTTTAGTGGTGTTGTGAACTTATTTAATGCTGTTAATCAGTGTAAAATTAAAAGTGGAAACCCCGATTCTCTAGTGAAAAAAGACAATTTTAAATTAATAGATAAAAGTAAATTCTTAGGAATATTACTAAATGGGACTGCTACCTCGAACAAAGAGGATTCTGAACATAATGATAATGATGTAAGTATGAGCCGTATTAATATTATGTTAATTTATTATTTATTTTAAAGTAGTTTTTCAAAATAAGTACAGGTTTTAGAAATTTCACCTTCACACTAACACACTAATTCTCAATTTCTGTTTAGTTTATGTCATTAAAATCTATATAGTTAGGTCAAAGTTATTTCTATTAAGGTACTACTAGGGTGGACAAAAAAAATCTGTATCCGAGTAAAATCTGACAACCCTGATAGCAGAATATTGAGTAGAACAGATTTTGTCGTGATTTGATAGTCGTTTTACTTTTCTACCTATACTAGGTAAGGAAAGTATTGCGATTGGGTCAAATTTTCAATATGCCATTTTCAACGGATCTATACGTTTCAGAGTCTCCGAGCCCGAAAAACATGTTTTTAGCCATTGCATTGGTCTGTCTGTTTGTCTGTGCCAAGATTTTCTCGGAAACTAGTGGACCGATTTTGTTTCTTATTTTTTTATTTTGTAGGGTTTTGACTACTGATGCCTGTGACACAAATTGAGTGCTCCATGTGCACTAGCTTCTGCGCAATAAATGAAAAACATGTTTTGTATAGACCAACACGAAAACGGCTCTAACGATTCTGATGAAACTTTCCTATAATGTTCTAATAATTGTCCTTTCAATTTTCGTACATGAACTAAATTCCTGAAACAAATCAAGAAAAAAAGTTATAAAGATGTTTATAACAAAAATATAACAAAAATGTTTTGGGACCTAACTCACTAAGTTTATATTCTATGGTAAAATTTATAATAAAACTTTTGAAAAGTAATTAAATTACTAAAAAACAAAAAAAAAAAATCATCGGAATCGAACCAGTATTAGCAATGATACAGCGTATTCTATTTTCTACACATGTTTTAATTTATTACTTTTCTACCTATACTAGGTAAGGAATGTATTGCGATCGGGTCAAATTTTTGATATGCGGTTTTCGATGGATCTCTACGTTTCAGAACTCTCTGAAGAAATACCGTTTAGCCTCTCTTTTTGAAAGGTAATGAAATTCCCTACAAAACTATATAAAAATCGTTCATTTCGGACAATTATTAACGATGTTACAGCTATTCAATTTCTAATGTAAGATTAGGGGTACATATCTTGTTGTCAGAAGGGGATGAATGAGAGAAAAATTATAACTTAGTGAAAGTAAAAAAAATCTGTTGCCTGCGTTACACAAGCTTCACTATTACCTCTACTTTTAAAAGAAATTATTGTTTGACAAAATTAGGCTATGGCAAAAAGTTTTTGATCAGCAATATTAGAGGGTATTGAAATTTTTACACTGATCTACCTTAAGCCAGTTTACATTGCTTTAGTTTAGCAAATAAATTGTACTCAAATCTTTTCTTGGGTCAATTATCAGGAAAATAAATCTAATTCAATTTTTTTTGTTTCTTGGTGGACATATGTAAAGATATAAAAACTTTTCTGAAGTTGGTAGGGAAGTCTTGTGATAAATGATTCAGCATGCTACCCTTGAATAAATTCAAAATGTTTTCCAATTGTTGTAAGATTTACGCTTAATTCTATAGCTAGGCTACTATTAGACTCATCCCTCTCCAGTTGGCAGCGTATATAGAATTTTTCTTCCAAGCAAAAACTTTTTGCTTTTCGTTATTCTTACTAAAGTAATATACAGATACATGAATTTAATGCTAAGAGTTGGAATGAAATTGACCCGATTAATGTGATGCTTATATAGAGAAATAATGAAATAAAGTATTTCCTAGATGTGTGATATAAAACAAAGGTTTTAGGAGTTCTGAGAGCTAACTGTCTTTCAAAAGCTTGCTTATTATGAACCTCTAAGTCTTTCATTATGGTTATAAACTATACATCACTATTCAACCTGCCCGCACTCATTGTATTTTACTCAATATTTATTACGTTGTTTCTTTCATTTATTGGTACATAAATAAATAGAAAACACGAATCATTATTAATTACTGCCTTTATTTCACACATTAATTATTAATAATAAAAATTACAATTGAAAAACCATGAACTCGGCTGACACAGCGATCGTCTGTGGAAGTGAATGACAAGTCTAATGCAGGCTGTCTCTGATGCCATCCGGCGTTTTTTTATTCAGTTATGAAATTTGTAGCAATCATAAATTTAGTTTAGAGGTATCCAACAGTCGACAAGTAGTATTGTTTCAAAAACTCAACTTTACCGATAGTTAGCCCCCTCAGCCACTCCGCCTCACAGTTGGTATTGTATAGATAATTATTACATTGCGTGTGGCAATAAAGAAGCTAAATTAATTATGTGGAACTAAATTAAAATAAGAATAGCCTGTTGCTCACTTTATTTTATCATAGAAAACAGTATCAACTTTTACTTCCTCACATTTTTTTTATTTTTTATATCTTTTGCTGCCTTAACAAGCCTGCTCCATCTCTATCTGTGATGAGCTATTTCTTTCCAATTGTCTGCATGCATACTATTACATCTTTGTTGATTCTATCTATCCATCTGTTTTTTGGCCTTCCATGTGGTCTTTTGCCTGCTATTGAGGCATTCATTGTTACGTAGAGGATTCCAGATGGATTGTTAGGAGCTACATGCCCCGTCCATCTTAACCTCCCTCCATGCTTTCATATTATGTGTTATTAATTGACCAGTTTCTGTTAGGAGTTCTTTATTGGTCTTTCTTCTCAATGTGTTAATACTCTAATCCCAGATCGCTCTGGTTATCGTGCGGAGGATTTTTCTCTCAAATCTTTCAACACTTTTTTCTAGAGTGCTGGTTAGTGTCCAGGTCTAACAACCATATTTATTATATTAGAACTGGCTTTATTATAGCATTGTACACCCTTAATTTGAGATTTTTTGGGAGTTCAATACCTTTGAAAGGGGGTCGAAAGCTCTCTTTGCGCTAGTTATAAGCTAGTCATTCATTGCGATTATTGTGGAGCTGAGGTATTTGAATTTTTCTGCTCTTGAATGGGAAATGATTTCCCTTCTACGCATATCCTGTTATTGGGGTGGAATTTTCAGCTTATTTCCATATCTTTTGTTTTGCCTTCATTTATTTGTAGGCCGATCTGCTCTGCCTCTCTTATCAGAGTCTTAGCGAGTTTCTCAAAGCCCTCTTGATTACTTCTAAGGACAGCTTCTCTCTGATTATGAAAATAAAATAAAGGAGATCAAAATAAATTACTTAAAGTTTAGTTTTTTTAAATTAAAATAAATAAGAAAATCTAATCAAGTTTAAAAAATGCTTCCTTTAGAACATTATATTTGTTATTGAGAAGACTGAACACACTTTTTTTTTACTCTAATCTCAACTTTTAATCATGTATAATAAATATATTTAGTTATAAACTTTACATTTTTAACATTTGTTCCCCTGACATATTGGTCAGGGAAAACTTTCATTAATTAGGAAAAAGTCAGGGAATTTTACTCTAACAGTCTGGTAGCAACTCTATAAATTGAATTATTTTCTGTGGGTTTATGATTTCAATTATTGATAAAATATAACTTTTTATGTAAGGGGAACTGTATTAAAACCAAATTACTTAGTATTCTTGCTATTTTAAAGGCACTATTTGTATCCGATTTATTTAATCCGAAAAAATCCAATAGTTATCTTAATCAGTACTTAAAATATTTTTAGGCTATTAAAATATGTATTTAACAAGTTTTTAAATTTATTAAAACAAAGTTTAATCAAAATTATATGAATAGTGGATTAGAATTTTGTTAATTCCACCGTTCTGATTTTTAATATAACTTTCATAATGTTCATGGTCAATGTTTCTTATAAATGCCTAAAATTTTAGTATATACAAGTTTCGAATAGTTTTGAAAACAGCCTTAATAATGTAGGAACACTAATTCTACATCATACTTAACATTTTTAATATATTTTGAAGAAGTTTATCTTATATATAATGTATGTATTTATTTATAATTTATTTATTTATTTAAACTCTTATTCATCTTCACTGTTTTATAATATTTTGTTTGTTAGCTTTATTATGTATGATTTTACTTACTTTTATTAATTTTTTTTCAACTTTTTAAATTACAATATGTTCGTTTTGTATTGATGTCTTATTTGAAGAAGTTTATCTTATAATATATGTATTTATTTATTCATAATTTATTTATTTTCTTAAACTCTTATTCATCTTAACTGTTTTATAATATTCTGTTAGCTTTATAATGCATGATTTTAGTTACTTTTATTAATTATTTGAAAACTTTAAATCATAATATGTTTGTTTTCTATTGATGTTATCTTCTAAACATTTTATTAATTTTGTTTTCTTTTACAGATTGAATTAGATGTTGAAAAAAAAGATAATGTAACTTGGGATGTTCTAAAAAAAGACTTTGGTAGTGATACAAAGTGGAGGAATTGGGACACAACTATATCAAATAAAAAATAATTTTTAATTAATGTGTATTTAAATAACTTTTTCCTATTCAAAGTAATATTTTTTACTATTTTTTTTAAACTGTGCTAATAGATTATTAACCAGTTCAGAATCTTGAAAAGAAGCAATAGATAAATTAAGCCAAATAAAATGAAAAATATAAGTTGTTCATTCATATTTACTTGGAGACTAAAGGCAAACTCATTAGTGTGAAAAGAAGTCCAATGTGGAAATTTTAGAATAATTTTTTTTAATAAGTTTCCTAAGGTTAAAACATGAATCTGAAAAATGAGCCTCTATAGGATATTTCTGTGACCAAAGTGTGATTTCTTTGACTTTTGAAATCAAAGAAAACTTCAATCCTTGTTTTCTCAAGCTTTGAAATTTGTGACTCCTCGTTTTCCTAAGCTTTGAAATTTGTGACTCCCCGTTTTCCGAAACTTTGAAATTTGTGACTCCTCATTTTTCCTTTGGGCCAATGATATTTAGTAGTGGACCTGGAATACTATTATAAGTCAAAATTCTCCTCCATATATTAGTACTCTGAATCTAGATCACTGCAGTTATCGCAAGGAGGACTTCCCTCTTAAATCTTTTAATTATTTTTTCTAGGGTCCTGGTTAGTGGTTAATTTACACACACACACACACACACATATATATATATATATATATATATATATATATATCAGAACTGACATTATCATTGCATTTTACTTCCTTGATTTGGCATTTCTCCAGGTTTTTCAGGATTTCATTACCTTTGAAAGAGGGAAGAAAGCTCTGTTGGTCTATATACACAAGATTTTTTTTCTTAATTATATTATTAAAACTATTTATTAAGAAATAAAAATATAAGCACTGACTTCCTAAGCTGAAGGTCCCTCAAATCCAGTTGATGGCAGGTAACACTGCTCTACATTGATGTTGTATCTCACTTGAAAACAGACTCATTCCATCTTTTTTGGTGTGAGAAATTCGAATTCCCTCATAAAAATCATCAGTTAGCTCTAGTTTCAAGGATATAATTAGTTACATTTTGCGTAATAAGGGGAAATTTCCTACTTCTGGATTGGTTGGATTTATTTCTGTCTGTGAAACGTGGAAAATGACTAGCTGTGAATCACAGAACCCTTTTGCTGACAGTTGTGTGCAGTGCTTACATTTCAAATTACTCTTGACATAATTTTTCTTGCTTCAGGTATTCTTTCAACGATTTTGTCATGATAACCTAGTAGTTTTGGTGAAGTTATAATGCCAAGGAAGTGTGTGAATGCTCCTAACAACTTTTGTTAAATTTGTGGGGAAGTAACCTCTGAAGTCAAAAACGTCCTATCACCCCCCAGATGATCAAAACAGCATATCACAAGTATTTTGGGGTGAAGGTTGGTGGCCAACATAAACCGTGTGCTCCCCACATCTGCTGCATCACATGTAGCGTGGCCTTAAGAAAATGGTTGACCAAGAGAGGTTGTTCAATGCATTTTGCTATTCCCATAGGGTGGAAGGAGCCTACTAATAACACTGACAACTGCTACTTTTGCATGACCCCTCCTCTTCATCATGGAATGTAAATCTAAAGTGAAGTTCCCTGACATTCCTTCTGCTATACTGCCAATACCCACATGGGGACGAATGGCCTTTTCCAAGGCCTCCTGAACACCATGACTTGAATGAGGATAATGATAACAAGGAGGAAAAGCCTCTAGGAGGAACCCCATAAGATGATTCTGATTTTTCTTTTGAACAAGAAGAACAAAATCCCCACTTGCTTATTCAAGCTGAACTCAGTGACTTGATTCAGAACCTGATCTGCCCAAAGAAAAAGCAGAACTTTTGGGTTCAAGATTGAAGCAATGGAACTTCTTACAACCTGGTGTAAAGATTGCAATGTACAAAAATCGTCAGAAAGACTTGATCCCATTTTTCAAAAAGTATTAGAACCTTGTTGCCTGTTTTGATATCCCTGGTCTGATGAACACATTAAATCTCAATCAACCCTTCTGAATGGAGGCTGTTCATATATTCCTCAAGGCAGTTCTGTTGCATAATGGCAATTCATTTCCCTATGGGCCATGCTGTCCACATGAGAAGGAAACTTACCAAAACATGACAACTCTTCAAAGATCCATCAAATGCCAGAACTACCAATGGCAAATAAGTGGAGACCTGAAAGTGGTGACAATTCTTCTGGGCATGCAATAGGTATTTACTAAGTATTGTTGTTTCTTATGTGAGTGAGACAGTCGGGACAGAGCATCTCATTACATCAGGAAAGAATGGCCTCAAAGAGAAGTCCTGACCCTTGGACAAAAAAATGTTCTCTTCAACCCTTATGTGGGCTCTGAAAAAAATCATTTTGCCTCCACTACATATAAAGTCTGTGGGATACTTCAATGCTCACAGAATACCGTTGGAATGTTGTGAAGGATTCGCTAGAACATCAGTACAATCATAAAGCAAAGAAGAAACATTCTAAATAAACTGTACAACAGTGCTGTTCTTGCCGAGAGAAGTTGTAATTTAATGTTTTGTGGGTTTTAAAAGTATTTCACAAATAATAAAGAACCTTTAAAGCCTAAAAAGTTTTCATCGAAGATACACACAAAAAATCTTGTTGTATGGCAGTGTAATTATTGATTTTGTTTGATCAGCTGTGGAGTGACCCTGGGGTCAGGAGACCCTCCTGGGGTACACCCAGGCTTTTTTTTTGTCTTCTCCTTCCTCGCCTTTTGGGCTATACAGGGTTTTTCTGGGTCAGGGGGTGAGGGCGGGGGGATTAATGCCAAAGTTAAAAGCTCCTCCCGCAAACTTGTAATAATTTTTATTAAACTATTCACGTTGCCAGCTGGACCATTCCGCCCCTGAGACATCCAGACTATAAAGTGGTTAATATTTATTAAATCATTGATTAAAGAGAAAAAATCTGGTGATTAAATGGGATCCTAGGTCGATTACCTTCCTCCATAACTCTTGGCCTTGAAACAGCACTGAACTCAAGACCCTTTATGGGTTGTAGTTGTAGAGGTTTTATTTAACCATTTCAGTGACAATGCTGGTTGTTTTAAAGTTATGAAAGGATGTTTTGGCATTATTCAATAAGTTTAAAAATCATTATTACAAATGATTTTCATACTGTCCTTAGATTCCAGGTGGAGGTTACGATATTTACTTAAATATAACAATTTATCATTTTTTTAAATTCCTCCAGTATTAAGAATTGCATTATTTAAAATGTGCAAATTATGTATTATTATCGAAGATAAGTTTATAAAAATGTATTCAGGAGCCAGCTTTTTTCTTTTTATTCTATTTGATGACAAAGAGACCAAATTATATCGATCATTCTATGTTAAAATGTATATTTGCTAAAATCACAAGTATTTGTAAATCTACCTTAAAAGTAAGATCTATGTACCAGGGAAATCATTCCCCAGAGTAAATGGATTCAAATACCTTGAGTCCAAAATAGCTTCAATGAATGACCAAAAGTCATCAGAAGTAGATTAGGATAACAAGCAATAACTTATTTTCTGTCGACTGTTAATTAAGTACCAAAAAATCTCTAGAATTATTAAATCAAGAGTGTAAACTGCTATTAGTCTGTGGTACAAACCCCTATCAAATTATTAAAATCCCCCTAAAACTTCATGAATAGCTTCATCTTATCTTAACCTGCAAATTTTTTTATTTTTGAAAATTCTCAGAAATGGGGTGTTTTCTCATTAAATTAATTTGGCCTATATAAGCTCCTTATTTTGAAATATTGGGGGTAGGGGGTGGGAGAGGAAACGCCAAACATTTGAAAAGAGCAATTCTTGATCTCAAACGAATTAACTGTTCTTCCAAACGGATAACAACAGTTGTTTTTCTTTATTTTGGCATTAGTCGAGTTGCTGTTTGTTCTGCTTTTTCCAAACGAAACCAAAGATCTTTCTGTTTTCTAACAAACCTATCAGTACATCATGAAAATAACCCAACAGTTTCTTTATAAGACATGTTTCCATTGTTAAGTTTAGGGATATAATTTTTAGCTCTCATTATTAATGAAGACTAGGAAGAAATTAATAATTACATTGTAGTTACTACATCACTAAATTAACTTAAGCATATCTAGTTTATATTTTTAGATGTATCTAGATATATTAGTGTCTTACAGACCGAAAATAATTTTTATGATTTAATATATTCACATAAATCAACTTAAGTGCATAAATATAATTAAACACTATTATTGAAGAGAAGAATGGTTGTAGTAATCAGTAAAAAAAAAAATTTTATTATTATCTTCAATTATTCACCACAGTCAACCATTAATCCACTATTTTGTTCTATAGAAATTGAAAAAGGGAAACAGTTGAAAAAATATTTGAACCATAGTTAAAGGACTCATAATGACCAAGCAGCATGCTTTCAAACTTTTAACAACTAATACAGAAATATGGCATAAAATTTATAACATATTTGTTTGAAAAAGGGAAAATTCCTAAGCCCTGCACTGAGCTCATTGATTAGTACCAGATCCATTTTTATGCTGAGCAAAAGATCATCCAATTAGCTCATCCTTGAGAGTTTATGAACTTGTCCAAAATCATAACCACCAGATTAATATAAGAAAGTTAAAATATAAAGTATTCTATATAAAAAATAGTTTTTAGTTTTAATTAGTTAAAAAGTAATTTTTAAGATTAACCTTCGTTTAATATTAAAAATAAATTAAAAGGTTATCAATTTCTAGCTGGAACAATGCCAAACTTTATACATAAAACGTTTCATTCATTTCCAGACTCGTCATTAAACAAATAGAATCCGTTTTAAAACCAATAGGTCTTACTCCATGAATCGTTACGTTGTTCTACGAACTTGTTTTTATTTTAACAGATCTTAAAAACTGTTTTTCAACGAATAGGTCGTTTGCGTTTTTTTAAAAGTAGCAGAAACGTCCACCTCTATATTGGGGGCGGAGGTCACGCCAACCGGCGCAATATTAATGAAGGTCACCTTTTTTTGTTCTCGATTTTGTT